TTCAAGACCTGTTGATGAAAAAGTAACAAGTGCATAATATTAACCCCTGCGATATTGTTATAAAGCTCCTAAACTCTGTGCAGTGAAAGTCCTTCATCAGACCAAGAATGCCAGGGAACTGGAGTTTTATAAAGCATTAAAGGGTTTATGTGTAATGTTAGTTTCTGTGCAGTGGGAGCCTTTTTTTCACAAAGGTTAGAAAGGGACAGGACTGTACCGAGGGAAAGGGAAATCTCAATGGAAAACAACCCTCAAAAAATCACAAACTGACAAATTAACAAATTAACACAAACTAACAACTGACAAATTAATAAAGTTTTCTCCCTCAGACACAGCACTTGGAGCTCTGCAATCTTTCTGCCCTGTGTGAGAATTTCGACTGCAGTTGCCCAATAAGATGCTGCTGACAGATATCTACCAACATGTTTATCATGCTCTTTACACTGTACTTGAGTGCCCATCTGGAAAGGAAAGACATTCCCCATTAGGATACTGGATCTTGAAGGCCCTCAACTTTCACAAGGACACAGTAAGAAACAGGAAACTGGAATGCTGCAGGCAGCATGTCTGTGGCCATGTATCAGTATCACTGCGGGTTGTTTCAAGTTATAACAAAAATGAACATTGGGTCATTTAGTTCTTACCTGCAGTGAATGTAAATCACTGAACACCTTCTCAGGGATTGTATTGATCTCATTGCTGTGCAGCATCAGTAACTCCAGTTTCTCCAGGCCAGCGAAGTCTGTGGGGCTCAGTTTCCTCAGGCTGTTGTAGCTGTAATGAGCAGGTTTAGTCAGCCCCACTTCACACCTTTTAAAGTCAACCAACCCAAAACAAAAGAACCAGTCTTTGGGAATGGCTAAAAGTAGGCAGCCCTTCTTGCCAAGGTGAAATTTTAGGTCATTCCTTCACATTAGCACAAAATGTGGGCACTTTTCCAGGGCAGCGTTGAGATGCCTGAATTCCCAGTGGATGGGGATAGTAACAGCAAGCACGAAGCACATCTGTTTGTCTGACAGTGTGTTGACTTCTCTACTGCTTCAATGAAAAATTCCTTTTGTATCTTCTGCAGACACATCTGGATGATTCAAAGATTATGTGTGTCAAAAGGCATACACAGACCAGTCAAATATTGCTGATGGGTCTTGTTGTTTGATTTATGACAGAGGACACTTGCTGAGACTGCATGAAGGGGCTGGATGAGCCTGGGTGTGATCCATTCCCTGCTCCTTTAACCACACAGAACAGAACCACTGCGCAGGCTGACATGGTCAAACACGTGGGACTTCCCATGAACTCAGCAGATGAAAGCAAAGACACTAACACGTGTGACATTCTAAAGTCACAGCCAAGTCTCTATAGATTTTAATACACATATTTATTTTCTTTGACTTCTCTCTATTTCAGCCTCCTTAGTTTCACATTAAAGATGCAAAATTTCCATGCAGTACAAAGGAATTCATTTAAATTCAAAGCTTTCTGAAGTTCTCAAATGCCCTGTGTTAGATCCCCAAAATTTCCCCTTAGTGTGGGTGGTCTCAGGCTTTGCTAGCTGCGATTGCAGCCACTGCTGAGCACTGCAGAACATTAAGCTCCACTGATTTATTTATTGCTCTGGTTAATTTTTAGCTCTAAATCTGGAAACTCTTAATTACTACTCTGGGAAATGTTGAAAGGCAGCTGGTCAGAACACCAAGAACCCCAGCGTTGCACGTACCCCAGGTTGATGCGCTGCACATCCGCAGGGATGCGCGGGGGGACGGCGGTGAAGTAGCGGAAGGTGCAGTGGAGCTCGGCAGGGCCGTGGCAGGCGCAGAGCCGGGGACAGGCGCTGATGCCCGGGAGGGCAGCCAGGCAGGCGGCCAGGAGTGGCCCCAGCCAGCGG